AGCCCGTCGAGCCGGCTCTCGGGAACGTCTGCCGAGGCCGGTGCAGCCGCCGGAGCGCGGTCGGTCTCCGCGGAGGCCACGCGGGGTGGGTCTCCACGCGTCCTGGCCCTCCGTGCCCGCCGTCGGCGCGGGGCTCCCGGACTCACCTTGCGGGCCTGCTTGCCCCCCACGGGTGCCATCGGGGCTGCGTCGCGTCGCGGGGCGAGCGGAGCGGACCGAACCGAACCGAACCGAACCGAACCCGAGCGGCGGCTCCGCTGCGAGCGCCCGCAGCGCTTTATGCCGGGCCGGCGGGGCGGCGCTGGGAGGAGGCGCACTGCCCGTGGGGGCGGGGAGCGGCGATCAGGGTGACCGAGCGCGACGGCCCTGCTCCCTGCCCCGACGCCACAGCCCGAGGCCCGCGGCCGCGAAGGCCCAAGTACTGAGTACTGCCCAGTGCCAAGGGGCCGAGGTCATGAACGGGGCAGGGGTGCCAGGACGAACTTCACCCGCAGGGATCTCCCGCGGACACGCGCCCCGTGGGGCACGCGCAGGTGCACAGCCGCCAGGACGCGCGCAAACGGCATCTGTGCGAAATCCCAGCCTTCGCGCCACCGGAACGTGCCTCGCGGCTTCTGAGAGGACGGCAGCTTACAGTAAGCGGATCGTGGCAGCACTTACCCCGAAAGCGGAAAGTACTTCGGGGACCTCAGAGTTCAGCGTGGAAACTGTAAACGTGAGCATTGGAAGAACTGGAGGGACGTGGAGGGTAGTTGCAGTTACTTGTTGCTAGAATTAGTGCTTATTTTATCTTATTCTCCAGTCTTTACAGCCTTTCCCGAAATATTTTTATACTGGAAACATATTGACTTTGAAATAAGGGAAACATTAAAGAATACATAACATGCAGAACAATGTAAAATCTGAGACAAAGTTCAGAGCCCTTTGTACAAGTACAAACATGGAAGGAAATTATGTGGAACAGTAACTCCTTTTTCAACGTATGGAGAGAAAGAAATTACCATAGCAAATGATGGATCAATAAAAATGCAATTACTGAATTGATGTGTGCTTGAGATAAAACTGAGAAAGTAGCCAGGTGTGGTGCCACATGCCTGTGATCCCAACTCTCTGAGGCTGAGGCAGGAGGGTCACCATGATTTCAAGGCCAGTCTGGGCTACATAGCAAGACCCTGTCTCAAAAAGCCAAAACCAAACAACCAAAAAAAAAAAAAAAAAAAAAAAAAAAAAAAAAAATCCCAAACAAACAAACAAAAAAATCCGCTCAATCTCCCAAAAAAACAAAACCAAACCGAGAAAGTAAAATCCTTTTGCTTCTGAGCAGTATCCCAAGTTTAAAACGAAAAAAAAAAAAAAATAGAGAAAAAAAAGAACGAAAGGTCATATTGTAATTTACACAATCTTTTACCCCCAAACATCCCCTGGACGCTACAGGGACCCTTGATTTTCAATAATTAAGGAATTATCTGAGTAGGTGGCAGTCTCGCTAGTTAATAGTTCTGGTGTTAACCTGCAAAGTATTGGTGAATCCCACAGGCTCAGGAACCCTCCGTTGGTGGCGGGGAGGCAGCTGTGGTGACGGATGTCAGGCACTAGAGGGCGCCAGCGAGGCTCGAATGGTGGATTGTGAAAACCCAAGGTCCGGATTTCACAGGTTCCTTCAAGTTCCACATCACCTAGGAGATTTGAAACCAGTACCACGCAGTTTAAAGCACATCGTGACATCTTAGTAGGTAGCTCTTAGACCCTTCCCAGTCGCGGTTGCAGTGTAAGGCCCTTCCCGGGAAATAACCACTACTACCCGTCGACGCTGAGCGCAGGGAATTGATGCCGTCGAAGGGTATGCACGTGCACTAAAAGAGGGGTCGACTGGGGCTGTAGCTCGGTGGTAGAGCTCTTGCCTGGCAAGGCGCAGTCCCGGTTCACTCTCCAGCACTGAAAAAAGTATGTGAGTGTCGTGGTACATGCTTTTGAACATAGGAAACTTTAGCTATTAAACTCTCACCACCCCTGCCTTTTCCAGGGTGATTTATGGAGCCGAGCAGAGATTCATCATGAATTCGAGGCCAGCCTGGGTTACAGGGTGAGACCCTGTCTCAGAAAGAAATTATAGGTAGTTGTTGAAATGTTTCTTCCCTCCATTTGCTGCCCTTACCCCCCCCATTAGGGTCATTAAGATCGTCGTCGCCCCTGTGCCCGCGGTTGTGCCCAGCCAGGGTTCAGCACGCCTGCCGCGTGCCGGGTTCCGCACGCCTTCCGCGCACAGCGCTGTTCGCCGGAGCTGCCCGGTGAGGCGGGCGCCCCTCGGGCCGGCACCGCGAGGACGGCGGTCTGCGCTGTGTTCTCGGGCTTGGCCGCCGGGACCCGCGGGGCGTGGGCGAGACGAGCAGGCCGGGTCACTGTGGCCTGGCCGCGTGGGGAGCTGTCCAGGGCCGCAGACAGAGCGGGAGGTGGGGGAGGTCGGAGCCGAGACCCCGCGGAGGCCCGGCCGGCGGGGAGGGTCTGCGCCCCGCGGGCTCCGCAGCGGGGTGGCCGGCGCGCCCCTGTGCCACGCGAGCACCGCAAACATAAATAAATGAAGGGAAGTGGGGCCTGCTTCTCGCGTACCTTTTTAGCCGTTCGAGGTGCAGATGTTTAGCTTTAACCCTGTGCTGGATGTGTTACGTTTAACCCACAGAACAGGTGTGCAAGTGGGCGGTGTGGGCGTCGCCGCCTCCGCGCCCCTTGGCAGAGCCGGTAGTTTTGAAGAACTGAGTGTGAGGCCCTCTGCGCGGCGCCGCGCCCCCTCGCCGAGGCTGCGCTGTCACCTTCAGCTTCAGCTCTGCTGGAGGTCGCCAGACACCCGCCCGCCCAGTCCCCAGCGGAAGGGGTCCCTCGCCTTGTGTTTGCCGACTGTCATGACCTTCAGGTACTTTTTGTTGCTACTTCTAGGCTGCTGCTTCACACGTGCACAGAGGGTGGATTTTTCTTTGAAAACCTTTCCCCAGAAGCACAGCTTTTCTCACCGCTTCGGCACGTGTGTGCGCTGTGACGGCCACACTCAAACGTTACGCCAACACCAGCTGTGTCAGGCACGTCCCGGACCGGCCTGTCTGCGAAGGGCCTTGGTCTTTTTTGTTTTGTTTCCCTATACTGGGGATGCGGTTTCCAAACCGAGGAAACAGACCTGAGCACCTTGCCCAGGGCTTGCATTTAATAGGAAACTCACTACTAGGCTGAAGTCAGATTCTTCTGCTTACACACTCGTGCACGCACACACACCACACCAGTTTCCTCATGTCCTAGTCTGCTGCACCGTAAGAGGGTTCAGTGAGGGTTTTGAGCTGATAACCGAAAATTTAGTCTGTGCAAAGCATTTCTGGTACATTTTAGGATCTACCAGAGTACTATCAGCGACACGACCCTCTGTGGACCGAGAACAGTAGTAACTCATTTCTGAGTCACACAGTTGTCATTGTCAAGAATATAGGGAATACATTTTTCAAGTTAGTACATACGAATAATAAGAACCCTTAGTACTGAGAAAGGATGTACATTAGACACTGCTCAGTTTCAACTTTTTGAATTTGTAATCTACCCAGTTTAAAGAATTTCTGAAAGAAGTTTCTACTTCTCAAACCCAACTTTCAGGGGTGCCCTACACAGCTACTGAGATAAGTAAAATGAAAAAAATACCATAGCGTGATGACGCACACGTGATCCCAGCACTCTGGGAGGCTGAGGCAGGAGGGATTGCAAATTTGAACCCAGCCTGGACAACTCAGTAACTAAGTGAGAACTTGCCTCAAAAAAAAAAAAAAAAAGAAAGAAAGAAAAAGAAAAAGAAAAAAGAAAAAATTAAAGGACTGGGAATATAGCTCAGTGGAAAGGCCCTGGCTTCAGTCCCCAGTACCACAAAAATAAAAATAAAATCAATAAAATGTTGGGGAGGATGGAACTAGAACTCATCACTGGTACGCGTGAATGTTGATACAACAGTGCAGAAAAAAAGTTTGGCAGTGTCTGTGAAAGCTGCGCATACCTGCATCAAGCAGTTCCACTCCTGGGAGGAAATGTACACCATTGTGCTTGGCAAGATCCCTACAAGAATGTTCACAGTGGCTCATCCACGAAGGAGTGGCCTAAAGTGTGAACTACCCAAACACCCACCAATACAACGGGCAGAGACGCTGGGACATAGCTACGGCACGGTGTGCTGTCTGCAGTGAGAATGACTGATTTGTAACTATGTGCAATGAAGTGAACACTGTGCACGAATCTTGTAAACGTGGTGAACAAAAAGAAAATAGATGCAAAAGGGTCATTCTTAAGGTTACATTGAAATGATGTACAAAAAGGGCAGTGCTAAGCTTAGTCCTTTGATGTCATGGTATTGATTACCCTAGGGAAGGGAAGAGAGACAAGAAAGGAGTGGAGGTGCTTTTGGGTGCTCCTAATGTCCTCGTTTTTGGTCATGGTACTGTATAAACAAGAGTGTTCAGCTTGTGAACATTTGAAGTTGTGCACTTGAAACTTATATACTTTTTTGTGTAGTCTTTGTTGATAGTTCAGTGAAAATACAAAAAAAAAATCAGTATAAAATAGTGTCTTTGCTTTCTGTGGATTCCAGAAAAAGCTCTAAAACTAATAAAGTATTTTGCAAAGTGTGGTGGTGCATGCCTGTAATCCCAGTGCTCGGGAGGCTGGGGTGAGAGGATTGCTGTGAGTTCAAGGCAGCTTGAACTGCACTACAAGCAAGGCCCTGCCACAAAATAAACAAACAAATAAAAAATCCCAAACACACAAAAAACCCCAAACAACTAAATGAACTACAAACAAAAAACCTAAAATTAACTAGTTTAAAGTTTACCCCTCTAAGGAACTGAACCCAGTGCTCTGCACGTGCTAAGCAAGCACTCTAGCAAGCGACACAGCTGGCCCCCTGAATCTTGAACAGTTTATTCCGGGTAGGCATGAACTAGACAGACAGTGTTAACTTCAGTAGTTTCCTTGCTATAAAACTAACCTACTTGGAAAATAAGTTCAGCATGTAATGTAGTGTTCAAAATTCAAAAGGTCATTAGTTATTAATAAGGTTAACTATGCAAACATGATCTTGTTGAATAAGCAATAAAAAGGAAAAGATTAAAACACTGTTCATCGTATAAGTTTTTTGTCTTGTTTTATTTTTTATTCTTTCCAGTCAGGGTCTTGCTATGTAGCCCAGGCTGACCTTGAGCCCTCAGTGATCCTCTGGCCTCAGCTGGGATTACAGGTGTGACAGTC